ACTTTTCCAAAATCATATATTATAGCAACATTAATACAACTATGGAAGAATATAATTCTAACCACTTATCTATATTATTATTATTATTATTATTATTATTATTATTATTATTATTATTATTATTATTATTATTATTATTATTATTATTATTATTATTATTATTAAATGACTTGTAAAAGCATCACTTTATAAAGTAATTTAAATCCACTTCGAAAATTTTTTTTTAAATTGATTGCAATATTTTTAGCAATCTAAAATTCAATTTTCAATTTGAAAAACTGGTGATTATTGAGGGATAACAGGTTAAAGAAACTGCTTTTTTTAAGCGTACCCAAATCATTCATCCGGTAACAGGAGTTTATTCGATAAGAAAGTCTGAAGCGTCGTTAAGGCAGGGAAAATTTTTCTCTTTTACATTTACTGGCGATTCGATTTAACACACAAATAGACACACTCACACACACACATATTACATATGTATGACGTTTGCGAAGATTGGATCTTATTCAATTGCAAGTGGATACAGGAGAAAAGGTTGAACGCGATTGGACGGTACAACAGGGACTTGAGGAAAATCGGTCCACCATTGAAAGATATAAATAAGTTTATAGTACACAAAATGTTCCATAAAATTCAGTGTCGTAAAAAATTTTCAACCAGGGAATAATGTTTTGAAAACAAGTACTTTTTCTTCTAAGAACATAAAAAATGCACCATTGATAAGTAATTGTTCGTTTCAATATCGATTTCAATTCCTTCGAATAATCATAAACTATAAAAAAAAAAAAAAAAAAAAACAGAGAAGATATGTTTGTTTCTTTATGATATAAATTTTATTGTAAAGTTTGATTAGGCAGTAGTCTATAAAAGAAAAAAAAATGTTGAAAATAAATCTTTAAAGTATCTAATAAAGACTTTAAGTATTGAACAAGCCATAAGATTGCGTTAAGATTTAGTAAAATTCTTATGTTTCGCTGTATCAGCAATTGTGATGTCAACAATTTCATTTTTAGATATCAAAACGAAAAATTCTTTATTACTTTTGCCCAAGTTTTATGATTTATGACCTAGTAATCGTGAGTGTCCCTGTTGTAATTTTTATCAGTTTATTCTTGGCAATTTTTCTTTTTGACGAGAGTTTTACAACTATGGAAATAGAAAACAAATAAACAAAAAAAAAAAAATATTGAAAAATATCTTTTATGTTGAAAATTATAAACTGCAAATTCAAAAACCAGAAAGCGTTTTTATAGAGCAATTTACCAACCTGCATTTATAATCTAATTTTAAAGTACAAAAATTAAAAACCAAATACGTTTAATAGCTTAATAATGCATTATTGTGATAGAGTACGTACTTTTTCACGATTTACAAAAAATTGAAAATTTTTGTCCTTTTTTTCGGCTTGTGACTATTTTTTAAGAGTAAAACCACTCTCTCTCTCTCTCTCTCTCTCTCTCTTTCAAGGAATTCGTTTTGTAGGTATCACTCGGGTTCTTTCGAGCGTTTACACTATTGTCAACGAAATGCACTTTTCCATTTCATTTTAGAGCCATCTTTATTCTTTAAAGTAACTAAATCCAAAAAAAATGTACGCAAACTCTAACGGAATAAAATTAAATTTTTAAACTGATGAAAGTATAAAATAATTCTGAGAAAGATCTGAATTTTAAAGTTCTGTTTCAAAATGATATCCAATCAGTTCAAGAATTCGGAAAATCAAATTTATTTACAGCAATGAGATACACAGTAAAACGTGAGGTGTTAAAATAACACCAGAATAGATTAAAATAATCTGCAACAGTTTAAACCCTCTAGGATTAAATTAACACCAGAAAGGATTAAAATAATCTATTTTGGTGTTATTTTTAACTATGAATGAAATTTTACCTTAAATAAAACACCAAAGTCAACGATTTGTAAAAAATCAAAGAATTTAGATTCTCCAGGAAGAATAGTAAGTTAGTAAGTTAGTTACTAACTTACTAACTAACTTAGTAACATAGTTACTAAATTCAATTGTGTTCAAAAATTTTTAAAAATTCTCGTCAAAATTTCAATTCTCTTTATAAATAATAAAATTCTTTTCTGATATTTAATTATTTTACAAAATTTTAATCAAATTCTTGTTAAAATTTCAATTATTTTCAAAAGTTTTCTAAAATTCAATGATTTTTAATATCTACTTTTTCAATAAAATTTTCCAAAAAAATTCCATTATTAAAAAAAATTTGAATAAAATTCTACGCAAACATTCAGTTATTTTCATAAATAATAAAATTTTTTACAGGAATTCAATTATTTACAAATTTTTCTTTAAATTTCTTCGCAATAATTCAATTATTTTCATAAATAATAACATTTTTACAGGGATTCAATTATTTTCATAAATACTAAAATTCTTTTAGGAATTCAATTATTTTCATAAATAATAAAACTCATTGCAGAATTTCAATTATTTTTAATGCAATTTTAATCGAATTCCTCGAAAAATGTAATTATTCTTAAAAATTTTATTAAAATTCGTCGAAAGAAATTAATGATTGAAAAAATTTGGTGAAAACATTTTTTATGAGAATTTAATTTCAAGAAACATGAAATTAATAAATTATTTATGTTTGTATTTAAATAACTGAATTCTCGTAGAATTTACTAATAAAAATGGTTTTAAAAATGAATTTCAGTTAAAATTTTAGATTATAATTAAATATTAAAAGCATTATAACGTGGATTTTTAGAAATAATTAAATTTTGAAAAAGTTTCAAATTAAAATCATTGAAATTCTTAATTTTTCATATTTTTGACAAAAAATTCTGTAGAATTAATTCTTTTTAAAAGTTTAATAGGATTTTTATTGAAATTATTTCAAGTTTTTATTTTTCAAAATATATTTAATTGCAGAATTTCCAAATAATTAAAATTTTGTAAAATTGAATTGTAAACAATTGAATTTTGAAAATTCTCAAAGAACTTTTTTAAAAATTATTAAAAATGATGGATTTATTGAAGAATTTTAGTTAAAAACACTAGAACAAAATTTAATTTTATAGAAGTTACAAATTATTGCAGAAATTCAATTATTTTCAAGAGTAATAAAATTCTTCTTAAAGATTCAATTATTTTTACTAATAATAAAATTCATCGTAGAGTTTTTTCAATTATAATTTAATTCCTCGAAAAAAGTAATTATGTTCATGCAAGTTTTAATAAAATTCGACAAAATAATTCAATTATTTAAAAAATTGTTTATAAAATTCTTTATGCGAATTGAATTTTGAGAAACATTCAATTATTCTATAAATTATTTACTTTTGCATTTGAATAATTAAATTGTAGAATTTTCTAATGAAAATTGATTTATAAATGAATTTTAGTTAAAATTTTAGATTATAATTGAATATTAAAAGCATTATAATGTGGATTTTTAGAAATAATTAAATTTTGAAAAAGTTTCAAATTAAAATCATTAAAATTCTTAATTTTTTATATTTTTATCAAACAATTCTGCAGAATTAATTCTTTTTAAAAGTTTAATAGGATTTTTATTGAAATTATTTCAAGTTTTTATTTTTCAAAATATATTTAATTGCAGAATTTCCAAATAATTGAAATTTTGTAAAATTGAATTGTAAACAAATGAATTTTGAAAATTCTCAAAGAACTTTTTTAAAAATTATTAAAAATAATGGATTTACTGAAGAATTTTAGTTAAAAACACTAGAACAAAATTTAATTTCAGAGAAGTTACAAATTATTGCAGAAATTAAATTATTTTTAAGAGTAGAAAAATTCTTCTTAAGGATTCAATGTTTTTTACTAATTATAAAATTCATCGTAGAGTTTTTTCAATTATAATTGAATTCCTTGAAAAAAGTAATTATGTTCATGCAAGTTTTAATAAAATTCGACAAAAGAATTCAATTATTTAAAAATTTTGTTAATAAAATTCTTTATGCGAATTGAATTTTGAGAAACATTCAATTATTCAATAAATTATTTACTTTTGCATTTAAATAATTAAATTCTTGTAGAATTTTCTAATAAAAATTGATTTTCATTTCATAAAAATGAATTTCAGTTAAAATTTTAGATTATAACTGAATATTAAAAGCAATATATCGTGAATTTTTACAGATAATTGAATTTTGAAATTAATTTTTTTGAAAAAGTTTAATTGGATTATCTTTTATATTATTTAAAGTTTTTATTTTCTAATATGCATTTAATTAAAGAATTTAGGAATAATTGAAATTTCGTGAAATTGAATATTGTAAACAAATGGATTTGAAAATTGTCAAAGAAGTTTTTCGAAAATTATTAAAAATAATTGATATAAAGTAAAATTGTAGTTAACAATTTTTGAAAATAATAATTGAATTGAAATAATGAAAATAATTTTGAAGAAGTATAAATATTCTTATAATATAAAAAAATGATTTTATTACTTGGTCATCATAAATTATTATAAAATATGAAGAAATCGATCACTTCGAGTAGAAGACTTGGAGTTATCGATATCTTCATGTTTTATAGTTATAAAAAAATGTAATGAACTTAAATTTCATTCATTGTAAAAAATAACACGAAAATTGATTATTTTAATCTTTTTTGGTGTTAATTTAATCTGCAACAGTTTTTAATACCTCACGATTTACTGAGATGTAAAAGTGAGAACATACAGTTTTCGAATGGATAGATACAAAAACCTTTAATGTTACAATGTCGAACTAGTTCAGATTTGTCTTGGTCTCTCAGTTCCAGTTCATTACAGTCGGTGATTGAGGAGAGACATTGAACAAATCGAAACCATAATTTCAAAAGACACCATTCGTAACACGATTCCTATTGATGAATATCTCAAGTAATGGAGGTTGTAATCGTTCACAGTGCGTGAGAAACAAAAGAGTTTAACAAAAAAATAAAAATTGTAAAAAATTAAAAAAAAAATTTTTTAAATTGTCAACTAAATAATAATTACAAGTTGGATTTAAAAGATTACCAAGAATAGGATTCCCTCGATGTGTAGCAAGGCCGCCAAGTGTTAAAACATGGGAGTGATCAGCAGTGACAATTAAGAGAGTTTCAGAGAGATCCACCTCATCCATAATTGCCTTGACGGACTCCTCCAAAGCCAGTGTTTCATCCAAGGCGCGATAAGCATTGTTGTAGTGGTGAGCATGGTCTATTCTTCCACCTAGAAGTAAAACAACTTCTATCACGAAACAGAAATGGAGAAACACCCTTTTAGAACAAGTACGGTCGAATGCAATCGAGTGATACAACTGCGCCAATCCATTAGTAAATATGTTAGGCGACTACTCACTCTGAATTAAATGTTTCGAATGTTTAATGTTATATATAATGCAGTCTTGTAACTAAAAACATGAAATTTACTTTTAAATTAAAATAAATAAAAAAAAAACTATTCTTACTCTCTAAATCTGAATATGTGAAATTTCACTTATTGTACGTTATAAGTCGTCCTCTCGATCAATAAGTGCATATACACTTATAAATAAGTGAATTTTTCACTTATTCTAAGTGAAATTTCACTTATTATAAGTGTATATGCACTTATTGATCGAGAAGACGACTTATAACGTACAAATATGTGAATTTTCACATATTCAGATTTAGAGAGTATAGATTAGAAATAATCAGGGTTGCTACAAGTCAGGGAATTCAGGGAAAAGTCAGGGATTTTTATTAAAAGTAGTGGAAAAAATTAAATTTTTAGAATTTATGAGAAAATTCTGAATTTTGGTGATTTTTTTTTGTTTGCGTCATAAACTATGCAATTGACAACTGACAAAAATTCTAATACAAACACTTCAATTTTTTCTATTTCTGACAATAATTTCTTTTTAAATAACTTAATTTTTGAAGAACTATCCTAAAATTATTACTTATAGATTATTTAATGAATAATTTTACTTAAAAATTTCAAAATTAATTGGATTTTAAAAGATTTGCGTATAGAATCATCATAAATAGACAAACTTTAAAGCTTTTAATTTAAAATTTTAGAAAATATGAATTTTTAATGAATTTAAAATTTAAATAGAAATTTTAAGAACAACTGATTACAGTAATTCAATTATTGTCAAAAGTGATGAACTTCTTCGCATAAATTCAATGATGTTCAAAAAATTTTTAAAACTCTCTTCAATATTTCAATTATCTTTATAAATAATAAAATTATTCTCCGAAATTCAATTATTTTCCAAAAAAAAATTTAATAAAATTCTTGGCAAATTTCAATTATTTTCAAAAATTTTCCTCATTTCAATTATTTTTAATATCTACTATTTTAATAAAATTTTACTTAAAATTCTATTATTTAAAAAAATTTTGACAAAATTCTTTACGAGATTTGGTTACTAATCTTGCAATTTTAATAAAATTTTCCTAAACAATTCAATTATTTTCAATAAAATTCTTCTTAAGAATTCAATTATTTTTACAAATAATACATTTTCTTAAGGGAATTCAATTATGTAAAATATTTGAATAAAATTCTTTGCTAGAAATCAATTATTTTTAATTTTATAAATAATAAAATTTTTCTTGAGAATTCAATTATTTAAAAAATTTTTGATAAAATGCTTTATAATTTTAAAAAATTATAATAAAATTAGTCGTAGAATAAAATTAATGTCGTAAAATATAACATTCTTTCTACTAGGAATACAATAATTATCGTCCAAAATGTTTGTAAGAATCTTCGAAGAAATTCAATTATTTCGTAAAAAATAAAATTAATCAAAGCAATTCAATTATTTAAGAAATTTTAATAAAATTCTTCCCAAGAATTTAATTCTATTCAAAAATAAACATTTTCACAGTAATTCAATTATTTAAAAACGAAATTTTTACATTCTTTGTCAGATTTCAATCATTTTTAATTTTATAATAAAATTTCTCGATGGGATTTAATTATTTTCAAAAAATTTTTTTAAATTCTGAGAAATTCAATTATTTTAAGAAATTTGAATATAATTATTTACAAGAAATTATTTAATTATTTATGAATAATTATATTTTTCTCTGGAATTCAATTATTTTCCTAAATAAAATTCTTCACAGGAATTCAATTCATTAAAAAATTTTTTAATGAAATTCGTTGCAAGAATTCAATTCTGATAAAAAATTAAATTTTTCACAGGAATTTAATTATTTAAAAAAGAATTTTTTGCATTCTTTGTCAGATTTCAATTATTTTTAATTTTATAATGAAATTTCTCGATGGAATTGAATTATTTTCAAAATGTTTTAAAAAATTCTGAGAAATTCAATTTATTAAAAAATTTTTTAATAAAATTCTTCACATAAATTCAATTATTAAAAAAAGTGTTAATCAAATTCTTCACAGGAATTCAATTATTTAAAAAAGAATTTTTTAAATTTTTTGTCAGATTACAATTATTTTCAATTTTTTAATAAAATTTTTTGATAGAATATAATTATTTTTAAAAAGTTTCAAAAAATTCTGAAAAATTCAATTATTTAAAAAAATTTGAATAAAATTCTTCACAATAAATTAATTATTTTAATGAATAATTATATGTTTCTTTGGAATTTAATTATTATTTTCACAAATAAAGTTCTTCATAGGAATTTAATTCATTAAAAACTGTTTAAATGAAATTCGTTGCAAGAATTCTATTACTTTCATAAATATCAAAACTTATAGCAGAATTTTAATTATTTTTTATACAATTTTAAATATAATAATAGAAAATTGCATTTATTCTTTAATTTTTTTTTAATTCACCCATAAATTCAATTATTTTTAAAAATTTTAATAAAATTCTTCTTAAAAATTCAATTTTAAGAAATATTCAATTATTAAATAAATAATTTATTTTTGTAAGTAAATAATTAAATTTTCGAAAAATTTTCTGATAAAAATTTATTAAAAAATGAATTTTAGGTAAAATTTTAGATAATATTTGAATATTAGAAGAGTTATTGTGTGAATTTTTAGAAATAATTGAATTTTTAAAAGGGTTTAAATTAAAATCTTTGAAAATTTGAGTTAATAGTTACAATATTATTATGTTATAAAATAATGATTTTATCACTCTATCATCTTAAATTTATTATAAGTTATTGAATTTGAGAATTTTAATTCCTACAGAAAAATAATAATGATTAAATATTTATTTAAAAACGAAGTTAATGATATTTTTCAGGGTCAGGGAAAAAAGGGAAAATTTTGTCTGAAAATCAGAGAAAAACGAAATTAAAGTTTTGTGGCAACCCTGATTATATTTATTTACGATATAAAATGTGTTTACAAAAAATTTATATTTTTTTAAAATGTAGCTTTTAAACTAACGTCATATATACATATACATACATATAGGGGTATAAAAATATTTTAAAACTAAAGTGTGAGGCAAAATTCTAAAAAATAATACGTAATACCTAGAAGACCTTTAGGGGAGCATCCATATTGTATGTGAGTAACACTTTTACACCTTTTTTATGTTCCTCTTTCCCTTATGTAACAAGCCGTAATATTTTTCAATAGGAAATTTTTTCTTCACACAAACAAAACGCTTCTGGAATTTTGCATTATAAATTTACATTAAATAACATAAATCTTCGAACAAATTGTGCGGTAAATTTAAAAATGTGTATTAAACAAAATTAATCAATAACACTTTTTTATTTGATATAGGTACAAATTTATTGCGCGGAAAAAGATATAATAATTTTTTTTAAAGTTCAGGCAAAATTTATGATGTTTTATTATGTTAATAATAATAATAATAATAATAATAATAATAATAATAATAATAATAATAATAGCAAAAAAAAAAAAAATTGAAAAACTTTCAATTCAAATGTTGAATATTCAGAAAATATTCTGTACTCTTTTTCAATCATCGTTAGTCTTTGTATAGAATTGAAATATCACTTTTCGGGTAACTGAAGAGTCTAAAGGAAACCTGTCCCGGATTCACTTGGGTTCAGACTTAACTAAAGGATAGGGGAGCATTATGATGGCGAGTGGAGATCTGTAGAAGAAAAGAGGGCTGTAACAAATTTCTTCCTCCATATTATTCTGACACTGAGATTTACTTCGGATCTGCTAGCTTTCAAAGAAATATTTCTTTGATATAAGTATTCTTGAGAGATAATATTATAACTTTTTGTAATTTATTATTATCATCACAATTATAATAATAATATTAATAACATATTCTTTTGGACACGATACAATAATTTTAGTTTTTATCTTTATATGATGATTTTACTCTTATCGAATAATAACTTTTGTTTGATTAATATCTCTGTGGAATGGGATAAAATATTTTTCTATTGTAAAATCATAGAAGAGTATCATATTTCAATCGTATGTGACTAGAACACAGTATGATGTATACGTGTTTAAAAATTCTTTATACCCCAACTTATCATCAATAACGAGGACATAAGCTGATGCTATTGTCTTTGAGATTTAATTGTGCATTCTTTACTTTCAAATTGTATCTATATAAAAAATTCTAACTAAAAAAATGATAGATAAAATTCGTCATATTTATGAAAGTTACATTGCTTATAACAGACTTTACATTATACACAAAGCATCCTTTGAATTCCAAATCAATTAATGTTTGGAAGTTTCCTTTTGATCAATTATTGTTCACTTCAATTCAAAAACAATTTTGGCTCAAAATTTCTGAGGCGTGCCACTAATTTTTCGATATTGATATTTTTTTGTTGCATATCAATAATTTTATAGTATTTTCGTATCGAAATATGACCCCAATGCTGATTTTGCAAAATTTTAATATTTTTAAAAGTTATTGTTTAAACAAATTTTTACGCCTAGAGATTATCCTTATAAAAATATTATTTTGCAAATAACTTAAACATTTTTATGAACAAATTATATAAAGATTTAAAATTTAGGTTAAGATATGCCTAAAAGAAATTGTTTTTTTATAAATTTACTGCAGCTTATTGCAATTTAACTTTTTTTTAAAAAGTAAATTTTAATCAGACATAATTATTTCAAATTTTAATATTTAGTATAAGTCAATTATAGACAAAACACAATTCATCTAGGTAAAAACTACTTTTTTCCTGACAAAAATAAAAAATAAATCAGTTATTATTTCAGTAGAGAGAGATACATTTAGTCAGACCATACTTGATACTGAGGATTATTATTGAATTATT